AATCAATTAAGGTTACATTTCTGGCCGTCAAGGTTGTAGAAGTGATGCCAAAGGATAAGCACAACAGCTGAGACATTTGAGGTCTGAGAATGTTAGTTTAGTTATTTATTTATATATAAGTGGTTGGCACTGTACCCTTCTAACTCCTCTGATCAATTTCACACAACAGTAGTCTCTTGGTAGGGGAAACTGTCACCTGAGCTGGATAAGCTTGATAACATGTAGACAAAAATTGCACAACAACTGATTCAAATGTAAAAGTTTACTGAAGTTCCATAAAGACCAACGTGAGGTTTTGGCGACAGAAATCCCCCCTCTCCCAAGGTAAAACTGTTCCGTAGGTTACCTTGAGAAATGGGGCTATCGGTCACGTTGGTCTTTAATGGAACTTAAGTAAAGTTTTAAACTGGAACCAAGTGATGACATTTTTGTCTACAAGTCATACTTGGTACCACTGCATTTTCAGCAAATGAAGTATTAGTGAGGGATTCATTATTGTAACTTTGGGTTTGGTAACTCTCATCTCACGTGTAAGGTCAGCTTGCAGCAAACCTATGCTATGCCTATTTATTCCCAGCAACATCTACATACCAATCCTTCGCTCCTCCACCAACTTGTTCAGCATTTGGAGAATGCTCAGTACTTCTAAGTATGGCGGAGCATGTGATCCACTCTTTGTAACAGAGTCCTGGCAGCCTTCCTGTGAATCGTGGTGCCTATTTGCAGCATTGTCCAAAAATCTCCTCCTTCTTCCTGTGGATCCATGCCGCCCGCACCTGCCGAGACCGACTGGGACCTCTGGTAAGACTGCACAGCCCTCTTGAGAGCCTGCACAGCTCACTATAGACCCCACACAGCCCACCTAAAAGTCAGCACAGACCAGCATAGACCATACACAGCCCACCTGAAAATCCGCACAGCTCAGCACAGACCCCACACAGCCCACCTGAGAGCCTGCACAGCTCACTATAGCACACACATAGCCACCCGAGGGTCCACACAGCCCACCATAGAACCTGAACAGCCACCTGAGAGCCCGGACAGTCCACCATAGAACCTGTACAGCCACCTGAGTGCCCGCATAGCTCACCATAGAACCTGCACAGCCACCTGAGACCCCGCAAAGCTCACCATAGAACCTGCACAGCCACCTAAGACCCCGCATAGCCCACCATAGAACCTGCACAGCCACCTGAGAGCCCGCATAGCCCACCATAGAACCTGCACAGCCACCTGAGACCCCGCATAGCCCACCATAGAACCTGCACAGCCACCTGAGAGTCCGCACTATTAGACTATTCGCTATTATTTTTCCTACTCTTCTACTTTCAGAGGTAGTTATTAGGTTATTACATTAATAGGTATCATATGGGCAACACAGTGGCGCAGTGGTTAGCACTTCTGCCTTGCGGCACTGGGGGTCCTATGTAAAGCGCTGCATAAATTGTCTTACAGATACAACCAGCCCGTTGAGGGCAACCATAATGCAGTCTGATGTGGCCCACAATGAAATTGAGTTTGTTCTGGATGGATATGGTTATTAGCAGTAGGATAGAACTTAATATAGAAATACATATTTATTTGTAGTTTCTAACCATTGATACTCCTTATAGTGAACCAGTTGCTTAGTACTGGCCAAAGCACAGGTTGACTTTAAGGATCACATACACAGCCTGAGCGATTTATGCATCACTAGTGACAATCAGGCCTGGAAGAGGTTAACATAACCCTAAGACGCATGTCACATTCATGGGCATGCCACCAGTGAGAAGTTGCCATTTGTAGGGAGGACACATACCTGCTTTATATGTGTCACTCCATTGCCGGATTCGACAGCGAGGTGTCACCCCCTTGTTGCCGAAAACACTGCAAAACCTGCATCACTGTCGAAGGAGCACAAATTTGATCCTCTAGCCACCAAGGGAGTGACTCATGCTAGAAAATTTGATGACACCATGCTGCACTCGCTGTTGCAACACTGAAATGCAATAGTATGTATCCATTATATTGCAACATTCAAACTGATTACAGGTAGTCCCCGGGTTATGAACAAGATAGGGTCTGTAGGTTTGTTCTTAAGTTGAATTTGTATGTAAGTTGGAACAGGTACATTTTTTAGGTGTAACTGCAGGCCAAAACATTTTTTTCGGGGGTTTTGGATAGCATAGAAGGGTTTACCCCCTGTAACATTTGTTTTACTGTGTGTGCCCTTGTGAAAAATATTTTACCTCACTTTCTGCCCCTGTGACAACTGGATTTTGAAAATTTTGGATTGTCGTCGTAACAAGGATTGGTGATAAAGCTTCAATGCAGACACCTTTCTCCCATGATAACTCTTGCAGGAGTGAATTTCCCTTTCTAGGGGTAGATTTCCTCTCACTTCCTGTTGTCTCAAGGACTGGAAGTGAGATTAAATCTTTCTAATGAGGATACAGACAGCAGTAAAAACCTCACAGTGACCCGAAAGAAGAGGCGGGCACCCCTCGTCCACACATCTAACAAGAGCCAACTTCCTGTAATGTACAACAGTACTACGAACCAGACCCGAAAAGGCGGGCACTCCTCAGCGGCACGGGCGTGGTAGGATTACAACTACCCCTGCTGTACAGTAATAGCCTCCGTAAGTAGGAGTCGGATGTAAGTCGGATGTATGTAACCCGAGGACTGCCTGTAGTATGTATCCATTATACTGCAACATTCAAATGTCTTGCTGCTTATAACCAAATAGCATGCATTCATTAAATTGCAACATTCAAACATGTCACCGCCTATAGCATGCATTCATTATATTGCAACATTCAAACATGTCACCGCCTATAGTATGTATCCATTATATTGCAACATAGAAATGTGTCTCTGGCTATAATTGAACAGTGTGCATTCATTATATTGCAACATTCAAACGTGTCACTGGCTATCACCAAATAGCGTGCATCCATTATATTGCAACATTCAAACGTGTCTTGGCTATAACCAAATAGTTTGCATTCATTATATTGCAACATTTTCCATTTTAAATATCATATCACTGAGGGCTCCAAATGTAGCTGTAAAAGCATGCTGGGATTTGTGGTGTCCAAGTGGATGGCTGCGAGCTACACAGTTAAATTCCTATTAGGTTTCTGCCTTCAGCCCTGAGCTATATACAAAGATTGTAATGAGGATTCTGTGTCTGTACCTGTTGCAATCACAGTCACTGCTAACACTGTTTCATGCATAATGTAAACTTCCATGGCCCGTACTTACAGGCTGTGCTGATGATAATTATACAGATATGCACTATTTATCCAATTAGAAGAAGGGAGATTCCTTCCCCCAGTCCATGATAAAAATATACATATGTGGGAGTGTTGTGTTTACTGGGAATCAGCTTTTCACTCTCAGGCTTGCATGCTGAACATTGGGGGGACCAGAGAAGAAGCTGAATGGAGGTGTCAGGGCTGTCTGTCCCCCCTCAAACCCCCTCAGGGCTTTCTGCTTTTCTATTGTTCTATAAAGTGCAGATTAGTGATGAGCTGTCATGTGAAAAGACTCCACACCGCTGTGCTGGGGAAGTGGTACAGTCCATCTGGGTTCTCCTCCTCCCCCTCTGCCTGTCAGCTCTTGGTTTGTTCCGCCTGCTGCTCCTAGTCTAGGAGCTGTCCAGCAGCATCAGGAGGGGAGAGGGGGGCAGAGGAGGAGGAGGAGGGGGGGAGGATGCTGGGAGCTGGATGGAGATAATACAGGGGTCAGAGCAATACAAGGGAGACAACAAAGAGGGGACAGGGGAGACCCTGGGGGCAGGGCGGTGCAGGCTGAGCATCGGGGAGGCAGAGGGAGAGTGCTGGGGGGAGAGAGAGAGGAAGTGGGGTGCAGCCAGAGTGCCGGAGAGAGAGAACACACAGGAAGGGAAAGTGAGAGAGCAAGAGAGAGTGCTAAGGAGAGAGAGAGCGCTGAGGAACAAGAGAGGAAGAGGAAAGGGTGAGTGCTGGGAAAAGAGAGCGAGAGAGAGAGAGAGAGAGGAGTGCAGAGATCTAGAGAATGACAGTGTGAGAGAGAAGAGTCACACAGGAAGGTGACGAGAGAGAGAGAGAGTTCAGGCAGAGTTCTGGAGAGAGGAGAGAGACAGATAGGAGAGCCGAGAGAGCATAGGGATCCTAAGAGAAAGGAGAGAGTGCAGGCAGAGTGCTGGAGAGACGAAAGGGAGGGGAGTGATTTTGCATGCAGCCAGAGTGCTGGAGAGAGACTGTAGAAGACTAGAGAAAGGGGGAGACAGAGGAGGAGAGAGAGGGGGGGGGGGGGG